TTATTTACTATTAAATAAAACTGATGTCATGAAAAATAAAAATAAATATTCAGGATAGGCTCTATGAATGAGTTAACATTTAGATGGACTTTATGAATAGAAAAATATTTTGATATATAAAGATAGATGCAAGGGCATTCCCTGCACAGAAAGATTAATTCATTAATGTGCTATTTTTTCAACACGTATTAACATCTACATCCCCAAGTACTACTGAACTTGAAGACCTTTTCAATTGCCCTTACCAAATTGTCAGACTGGGCTTAATAAATTGGATATTGCAAAGGAAACACAAAACTCAAATTTTAGTTGCCATTTTCCTGGTGTTTCTAGTAATCAGCTAATTCAAACAGTCCTTTCCCCACTGTAAGAATAAGGTATTACTTTAAAAGCAGCAAGTTATGCAAATAAATGCAATGTAAATCAGCATGCTATTGTATATATGTGAACAACTAACACATGGTAAATAATTCCATCACTGTTATCTTGCATTAAAAAAAACTGAATAAATATCTTAACTACCTTGAGATTCTATGTATTATTTTGAAAAATTATAGATTATGGGCAGAGTAACTATGTGATATGTTACCCTAACTTTTTTAAATTTTAAGATGTACTTATTTTTATTTTATGTGTATTAGTGTTTTGCCTGCATGTACATACTGGAACCCTTGGAGTTATGGAGGGTGTTAACCATCATGTGGGTGCTAGGAACCAAACGCAGATCCTCTGCAAGAGTAGCCAGAGTTCTTAATCACTGAGCCCCTGCCCTAATTTCTAAGAATGCTGAATATTATTAATTACTATGCCAATCAACAATGTCTGAACCTGTTCTGTCCTAGGCAAACTGGGATAGTCAGTCATTCTAGTCACTGGGAAGTTTGTTTTATTTTAAAACTACATGTACAGATTCCTGCAGTTCATCTGAGAATTACTGACTCTGAATTACTAGTGTGATATTTTTTGGAACACTTTGGACTCTAAGATATCATTAAAGGTTCTTTGAGATGCAGCCTTGTCATGCTCCCCCCGCCCCCACTTATATATGCTGACCCTGAGAAAAACTTCCCAGAAGTTTTGCTTCAGTGATGCTGGTCTTTTATTAAGCAGCTGATTTTTTAGTACCAGCTAATCACAGCTGATTCTTCAGCCCCAGCCAACCAGAACCCACAGATTCTTAATTCAAAATTTCACATGAACAGTCCTGATAGTCTCTGCTTCCCTTTGAAGCTTCACAAGCCAAATCTAAAATTTTATATTTAGTAGAGGAATTTTGAATATAGACTGAAAATTAAATTGTATAAGACAATTATTAAGTTATATGTAATGATTATGTTATGAGAGTTTCTTAATTTTAGGAGCTAGTGCAATGTGTCATTTTATCTGTATCTTTCAATTGAGTCAGGGAACACATACATACCATTAAAGCTGGTAGTGGGTATACGTGTCCACTATTCTATTCCTCCAAATGTGTTTATGTTTGAAATGTCTCATAATAAAATGCTGAGAAGAAAAGGCTATTAGAGAAACTATTCATGTTTATAGGTAAGACAATATTATTGTTAAAAAACTGTGACCAAAAAGATGTGCACTCAAATCACTACTTTAAAAATATCCTACCTGAAATTCCTCTTCTGGGAATGTTTTCCTAAGAAACAATGAAGTGTCAGGCTGGAGGGTAGCTCATCAATAGAGGGCTTGCCTGTCCTAGTTTGTTTCTTTATTGCTGTGACAAAACACTCTGACCACTACCAACTTGGGGAGGAAAGGGTTTATTTATCTTACATCTCCTGGGTCACAATTCATCAAGGAGCCCAAGGTAGGAATTCAGGGCAGGAACCTGAAGGTAGGAGCTGGAGCACAGGCCATGGAGGAACGCTGCTTACTACCTTGCTCCCTGGCCCCAACTCAGCCTGTTTTCTTATGCAACACAGGCCCACCTGCCCAGGGGTGGCACCACCCACAGTGGGCTGGGCCCTCCCACATCACTCAACCATCAAAAAGATGCCCCATGGACATGGCCACAGGCCAGTCCAATGAAGGAAATTCCCTAATTGAGGCTCCCTCAACCCAGGTGAGTCAAGTTGACACTAAAGCTGTTCAGCGCAACTGACCCCTTGTCAACTTGACACACAAACACATCATTATTAAACCATAACCTCCAATTCTTGTCCCCAAGATATAATGTTAACATTAATATCACAAGACAGTAGAACCTTAAAATCCCCACAGTCCTTTAAAAACCCAAACACCTAAAAGTCCATAGTCTCTTTTAAAAGTCTCTTAACTGTGGGTGGGCTTCTGTAAAATCCAAAAGAAGTACTGTCTTATTTCAAAGGGAAGAATTGGGCACACCTAAGCAAAACCAAAGTCCAGCAAAGTAGCTCAAA